CTCACTTCTCAATTTCACTCTGTATCTCTGCCATCTGTATACAGATTTGCTTTCATTATGTGAGTCGCCAGTTCGCAGAAGCAACCAACTGCTGCCGACAAACTAGGTCATGATATAGATGACACAATCGCACGATCCCAACAACATTCGTAATCAGTCTTCTGCTTTTACCGAAACAGGTCCCCCCCCACATATCTCTCCCGATGAAGCCAATTTCGTAGCAATTTTGCAACCCTTCAATCAATCGCATCCTTGCAATCACATGAGCGCCATCTTCCACGGTGATAAACATCGACGATTTTAGAATCGCGATGCGACTTTGTCCGCCGCGCATCCGTACCTCATCCTCGGCTTAAACAGAACCTTGGGCTTCGGTGGTTTAACCGCGGCGGTGGCGCCACCGTTGGTCTCAGCTGCCGGCGTAACGGCCGCCTCGCCGTTGAAATCCCTGCCTACCAACTCGTTAAGAATGCCGAGAGAACTGCAGAGCCGAGAGAGCCGGTCCTGCGGAAAACACAAGAGCAGGGCTGTAGCGAACATCGCGTCGAAAACCGACCGAAACAGATATAGCGTTTTACACAAAGCCTCTTATTATTGTTATTATCATTACTATTATTATCATTATTATTGTTATTATCATTATTATTATTATCATTATTATTGTTATTATCATTACTATTATTATCATTATTATTGTTATTATCATTATTATTATTATTACCTCCGCCAAGGGGCTGGCAGGAGGTTATGTTTTCACGGGCGTGTGTTTGTTGGTTTGTGGTTTTGTTTGTGTACAGCCTAACTGAAAAAGTTATGGACGGATTGTCATAAAATTTTCCGGATAGGTTAGAAATAGGCTCTTAGAATTGACGAGATTTTGGTGGTGATCTGGATTCAATTAATTAATAACATTTTCAGGATAGGTCACAAATGGGGTAACTTAGAATTGATTACATTTTGGTAGTGATCCGGATCGAATTAATTAATAAAATTTTCAGGATACGTCAGAAATCCGGTAACTTAGAATTGATTACATTTTGGTCGTCATCCGGATCCAATTAATTCTTTAATTAATTAATTAATAAAAATGTTCACAGTCACAGAATTCAGCTGTCTTGGCGGAGGTCTGTGCTCTCCGAGTGCTCTAGTTATCATTATTATGAGTGTGCACGGAATGGAGTTACCAAAGCTTTGGAGTTACCAAAGCTTTGGAGTTACCAAAGAAGAGGTGAACTTGAGATCTATACAAGGTCGTTATTCTTACCACGTAGTAAACACAATTAGTAATGACACTGAGCTGGTAGTCCAAACTATTTACATAAGCTAACGGTAATGATAACAATGATGCTAATTTTAACACTACCCTCGAATATAACTTTAACCCTAATCATATAACCATGCTAAACCTCTTGGAAAATAGGGGTTATACAATTAGCAGAGCTATATAATTAGAAAGCATAGCTGTGTTAATTGCGACAAACCTTGTTCATGGCTTTTATGCCAACATGCAGTAAGGTCTTTGCAGCTTTATAATAGATGGTTTCCGAGTTGTTGTACGTCATCGCGTTATCACACATTAGCTTGAAGTCCGTCTGAGGGTGAAATACTTGTATTAGAATGAGATTGCTATAAGCTGGTTTATTTACCAAATTCCCATCTTTTCCATCAATAACGTTCACAAGGCCTTTCATTCTAGAGTTGCTTAGAATTGTTTGTGAATGCCTCGGTGTCACAAACATAGTCTCAAATTTAATCCAGATAACACTTAACACTGATAGTACATGTAGTAGCTGATATTGAAGTCAGAAACAAATTAGCTGAGCTCAGTTTCCACAGTAAGTTTGTAAGAATAATGCAAGTCAACGTTACGATGTGTGCAGTGTTGTGCGCACACACGCACGTACATATACATGCACACACATATGCACATATGCATATACATATACACGCACGCACATATGCAGATATGCACATACATATGCACGCACAACCACTCTCGCGCAGCTCGACACCGTCCGATGACGTTGCCGTGCGACCTCTGACCTTGAACTCGGCGACGGAAACGTAATCGCCGCTTTCTATCTTCTTCTTCATCGTACGGAAGTCCATCGGGCTTCGGATGATGATCGAGTAACCGGGGGCGATCACGTCCGTGACGGGCCACGCAAAGAACCTGTTCACGTCCTTGCGCTCGAGCGTTCCCCACAGCGTGTCGAGAAGCGTGCGTAGCGCCGCCGCGTCCACGCCCGGCCGCTTAGGTCTAGCGGGTCTGTAGCAAGGGTAAGGTAGTAATAGTAAGCAGTGTACACAGTCGCTTAGTTCTAGCTGGTCTGTAGCGAGGGTAAGGTAGTAATAGTAAGCAGTGTACACAGTCGCTTAGGTCTAGCTGGTCTGGCAATGGGATTAATAAAGACGGATAATTAAGTGAACGGAGAGCAATGGAAAAACAAAAATTCTACAGAAAGTTACGTTTTCATTATTTACATGTTACCTTGTTTCCTGTTTCGACTGTGATGGCGTTTCTGTTGCCGTAGTTTCTTCCTGGTCCACTGCTTGCCTTTTGGCAGGAGGTTCACCCTCGTTTTCATGTGTTTCCTCCTGTTCCTCCTCTGCCCTCACGGCCTCATCTTCCTCCTCTACATCCTCTTCATCTTCTCCCTCCGCTTCGCCGTCATCGTTATTCACCCGATCAGGCATGTCAGCTAGCGGCACATGGTCCTAAAGAAATATAACACAGGCTATCAATTTGATTACTTTATTTGTCATCAAGCTTGAAATTTGCAGGTTAAAAATTAAAATCAACCTAACAGTCTTTGACTACATAAGCCAAGTTTATTTGCAAGACAAAGTAATGTCACCTTGTTACTAGGTCCCATTTATAAATACCATGACAAACATTTGATATTCTAAATTCACAAACAAACCGTCTGAAAAATATGAAATGACGATGTGATAGCTCACCTGATTATGCTCTACTTCCATTTCCTCTCCATCTTCCTCTTCCGCTGTAGTTACAGGCTCCGACACTGGTTCAGCCTGTTCCACACGTTCATGGAGTTTCTCCCCCGAATGTTCCTTTCTATCCCCATGTTCCCTTCTTTTCGCCTATTAAAGTACAGACACAAAATTCTAAATACATGGTAGCCCCAATTTGCAACCTTTAAACAGCGTCCAATTGGCTACGTATCTATATCCTATAAATTAGAGCTCAAAGTTCTAATAATCCTCATTTAATGGGTAAATTTTGACATTTTATCATTACAAGTTCATCATATATTCTGCCACCAATTTCATACGGAAACAAAACAAGTGCCGCAGTGCGACAGGGCTCATCTGGTGTCTGGTGTTCTGCTGATAAATTCATTTGTGCATAGCAAGACGTCTTATACATAAGTCTTCTTTATTCTTGTTTGACTTTCGTAGCCAATTCGAACAAATATATCAGCTACACTTTCACACCCACCTAATCTCTATGGGCTAATAACAATTCAAATACAAGTTAATAAATGACATTGACGTTGACATAAAAGCTTTCAACATATGAGCATGGATCTCCAAGTTTAATTAGAGGGGACGAGGGGGTCCTTCTCTCCCACCTCCCTCCCCACTGCGCCCCACTTCCCTCCCCACTGCGTCCCACTTCCCTCCCTCCTGCCTCTCACCTCCCTCCCCCTGCCTCCCACTTCACTCCCCNCAAGTCCGCTTAGTTCTAGCTGGGATCTGTAGCGGAGGCGTTAAAAGGTAGTAATTAGTAGCAGTGTTACACAGTCACTTAGGTCTAGCGGGGTCTGTAGCGAGGGGTAAGTAGTAATAGTAAGCGGCAGGTTGTACACAGTCCTTAGGTCTAGCGGGTCTGTAGCGAGGGTAAGGTAGTAATAGTAAGCAGTGTACACAGTCGCTTAGGTCTAGCTGGTCTGTAGCGAGGGTAAGATAGTAATAGTAAGCAGTGTACACAGTCGCTTAGGTCTAGCTGGTCTGGCAATGGGATTAATAAAGACGGATAATTAAGTGAACGGAGAGCAATGGAAAAAAGAAAATTCTACAGAAAGTTACGTTTTCGTTATTTACATGTTACCTTGTTTCCTGTTTCGACTGTGATGGCGTTTCTGTTGCCGTAGTTTCTTCCTGGTCCACTGCTTGCCTTTTGGCAGGAGGTTCACCCTCGTTTTCATGTGTTTCCTCCTCTCCCTCCTCTGCCCTCACTGCCTCATCTTCCTCCTCTACATCCTCTTCATCTTCTCCCTCCGCTTCGCCGTCATCCTTATTCACCCGATCAGGCATGTCAGCTAGCGGCACATGGTCCTAAAGAAATATAACACAGGCTATCAATTTGATTACTTTATTTGTCATCAAGCTTGAAATTTGCAGGTTAAAAATTAAAATCAACCTAACAGTCTTTGACCACATAAGCCAAGTTTATTTGCAAGACAAAGTAATGTCCCCTTGTTACTAGGTCCCATATATAAATACCATGACAAACATTTGATATTCTAAATTCACAAACAAACCGTCTGAAAAATATGAAATGACGATGTGATAGCTCACCTGATCATGCTCTACTTCCATATCCTCTCCATCTTCCTCTTCCGCTGTAGTTACAGGCTCCGACACTGGTTCAGCCTGTTCCACACGTTCATGGAGTTTCTCCCCCGAATGTTCCTTTCTATCCCCATGTTCCCTTCTTTTCGCCTATTAAAGTACAGACACAAAATTCTAAATACATGGTAGCCCCAATTTGCAACCTTTAAACAGCGTCCAATTGGCTACGTATCTATATCCTATAAATTAGAGCTCAAAGTTCTAATACTCCTCATTTAATGGGTAAATTTTGACATTTTATCATTACAAGTTCATCATATATTCTGCCACCAATTTCATACGGAAACAAAACAAGTGCCGCAGTGCGACAGGGCTCATCTGGTGTCTGGTGTTCTGCGAATAATTCATTTGTGCATAGCAAGACGTCTTATAATAGTCTTTCTTTTTCTTGTTGATTTCGTAGGCAATATCGAACAATGATATCATGCTACACTTTCAACCCACTATCTCTATGGAGGTGATTAACATTCAATACAGTTAATAAATGACATTGACTGGTTGGACATAAAAGCTTTCACATGATGAGCATGGACTCTTCCAAGTCTTAAGCTATGAACGGGCATGTTGTCGCCAACTAATGTTATCCCCGTGATCTAGTATGAATGGAATGATCTCTGTTAAGGGACGTAGAAGGCAGGTAAGTTAAATAGTCAGCAGACAAGGTTTGTTAGACAACTGTCTGCCTAGATGTGCAAGACTATATGGATCTGGTTACCCTAGACAGGATATTTCACTTGTGAACGAGTACCCCCACCTACCCCTTTCGTTACCGTATGAGTTTTTGTCGTTAATAATTGTCCGTAAGGCTAGAGAATAGGAGCAGGTACGACTTCGAAATTTCCGCAATGGGCACTGCGAAGCAAGCGGTGAAAAATTTGCTTGTCGTTATGAAATGTTGTTTTTATTAACGTGATGTGACGGAAATATAGGCTAGTGACATAAGCATTATCGTCTTTCGCCACGCCTCGAACTACCCGCGTAAGGGTTAATGGGTAATTCCTTATGGCGGCATTTTCGAGGAGATACGTGATTTACGCGGGCCGTTAACTAGTAATGGCCATAATCATTTTTCTGGTGTTTGCTTACACTCACCATTTCTCAATAAACACATACACAGTTCCCATGTCATTAAACCATTACTACTAAATACTGTAGCAACTATCGAGCGATACACATAAGAGTACGCAGCAACAATGAGAGGAAATGAGTTTGTTGTAACTATCGTGATATTGAACAATCTTGCCCGTATGATGATAGGATTAAGGGGTTTCATCATGACAGACCTTTTATTTAATCGGTAAGACCTTAATAATATAAGTATATATATAAATCAATGATTAATGAATATATTACACACTTGTAGTAAACGTCTGGATCATGCGTAATTGACATGTCCCTTTCGTCATGGGGTTTAAGTGTTCGCGGGGGCACGGCGGCGGCAGGGGTCAAACCCTCTGGCGTCAATGCGGCTATATGGTATATATATTATTATACAATATATGCCTCAATAACCATGACAGTTCAGCGCTTATGTTCTGACGCCATTTAGTACGCTTCCGCAATGAGCCGGCATGTGCGAGTAAATCTCCGCATTTGCTTCTTATTCTCGATGGTTATTCTGCACTTTGCATACGCAGGCGACCTTCTGGGATTTGGCCATGAAGGTGGTTATGCTTAAAGCAAAGCACGCCAATTGGTTTTTGGATTGCTGGCGAGAGTCATTGTTTGCATGGTAACAAGCGTTTTTGTGGAGAATGATTGTAGAACTACAGCTAACTTGTGCTGTTTTACCCCGATTTCATCGATTTTTGGGAAACAGGGCGCATATAAATGCTATATTATATATATATATAGGTATATATATATATATTTTTTGATGACAATCATAAATTTATATAATAAATTTAATACAATTTTTATACAAATATGGGTTTTATTTTTTATATTTTTTTGCAATATATTTTTTTCTTTTCTTTTTTTAGAATTTTTAAATTTAATTTATATTACAACATTTTAATTTAATGACAATCGGATAAAAGTGCTAGAGTACAGGTTCTGAATATGTTCGACAAATGTTGACCATGGCCCACGTGACTCGCCACACCAAAAACGGATCGCGTGTTTCGCTTTACGATAACGATCTTCATTCAAATTTGAAGATGATCCGAGAAGACTGCAGCCGGTAGAGCGTCTCACAAGGGAAATTCATGCTTGGCGACGCGGCTCGAGGCAATGGCCGGCCTCGGCGCGCCGTGGCCGGCGGCTGGCGGCGGCACGGCGCGCGGCGCGACGTGCAATGCCATGCTATCCACGAACTTTGTTCGGGGGTACAATTAGAGGGGACGGCGGGTGGTCCTTCTCTCCCACCTCCCTCCCCTGCGCCCCACTCCTCCCCTGGGTCATTCCTCCTCTGCTCTTCACTCCTCCTGCCTCACTTACTCCCTTGCTGGCTCACTTCCCCCTTCCTCCCTTCCTCCCCTGCCTTCGACTTCCTTTCCCCTGCTCCACTCCATTCCCCTTGAACACCATCTCGCATCGACTAATTGTACCATCGTTTACCGCTCGCACCACCCGTATACCGTTTTCCTGTCCGTCTCAATTTATACTTCTCTCTTCTCTTATTTATCTTAGATTTCTCTCTCTTTTAATTATATAACAAAATTTTAAACCAGCGATTATGCTTTTACTGCCCCTCATAATGCCTTTCGTTCCTATGCCCTTGTAGTGTAACAGCATAGAATATATATTTGTACTGGTCTCTATTTTCTATCCCGGTAATAGTTATGTTGCTAACTTGGATAAATGACAATACGCACGCCATAGACTAATGATATAGTGTTAATATGTCAAGATTGAAAGGTAAATAATTATTATTATATGTTATTAGTTTATTACTTTATTCGGTTTAACAAAGTTACATGAGATAAAAGATCATTTTAAAAAACTCGGCCTATTAGTTTGCGCGAGTTGGCACGTGCAGTGTAATCAATAATCAAGATGGCAATCGCCCTTCATTGAGATACAGGGAATATTTTTCCCGCGTATGCGCAATTCGCCCAATTCGTCGATGTATTCAGCCATTTGGTAAGCATCATTTTTTTCATGAATCCAGGTTGTGCGATGCAGCCATGCGAGTATGTAACGGAACATACATTTTTACAATTTCTTGTACTTTATTACTCGGGCTGCTTTGCCACCCGTCAATGCACCAATGCCACGTTAGCGCCGATTTTATTGACTCTGTTAACACCAGCGCCACACGTGACTTTTAAACATTCCTGCACCCCCCCCCCCTGTAATCAATCAATATGCCGCCCCAGGCCACGTATTAGGACAGCCAGCTGGCTGGCGCTGCACGCCTCTCACGGGCAGCTTTCTTGGCGACCTTTGATAATATAAAGTGATGGATGTTCGTGTGATAGCCGCCCTTCACAAGTCGCTAGAACTGTTATTTCATCAATGTTTGGATGTATAACGTAAGGAACCAAACATTGATCAGTTTTAGACAATTATTTTACTCCGCCAAACGGCCGCAGTCAGCTTTAGCTTTCACTCGCCGGCCGCATCATTATTTTCACTCGACAATTGGCGAGCGTGGATTGCCAGCTCGCCATGCTGTTTAACGGCTGCCGTGGCAGCGCGTACACAGAATCGCTAGTGGATGTCATGAGCATAGATAGTGGTGGCCTGTCACAGGCCGACACGATACCACGCCAAGCATGCACCGTCTGGGCTTCGTGTAAATTTGCACCTTGTGCTTGTCTGAAATAAATGCGTATACAATTTATGCCGTTGCTATTGCAAATTTATTTTGTCTATAGCAATTTTGCTATGGCAAATTTTTGGCTGGAAATTGTTTCCCTGGATACCCTAACTACGCTCCCGGCGGGATGTTGCTGGAAATCCTACAGGTAAAATCTTAGATGAGTGCCAGCATTGGCCTGCCGTGTTTTGGCCTACCCACCGCGAGCATTCACTTTGATTCAGCATTCAGTGGTGCTTATAGACAGTACTGCTTTTAGAAAATATTTATTGATTTACAGGAGCGTTAAACCTTGTTCAACAAACAACTTGCCTTTGCACATTAAACTGTGCAACTGTGCCTCAACTTCACACAGGCTATGGGCTCTAATAATAGCAAAAGTTTAGTTTCAGTCCTTGTTAACAGTTCAACCATCAATGTTTAACCTTCTCTTAAGGCGTCAAACAGGTAATCTGACCTTTCTTCGGCTTGTCAGCGGAAAGTACATTTGTATAGGTCTTTCAATAAAGCCATAAAGAATTGGTAGGTCACCGCTTGAAACAAAAGTTTTTCAATCGCTCCCGTAGCCATGCTACTTCAGAAAATTGTGCTCTAAATCTGCCCTGTGTCACATTGACCTTTGACCTGTGACCTCCAATTTCGGCACCAGTGATCGGCTTTTCCTACCATGATGCTATAACCAAATATTAAGAGCATAGGGTCGAGCCGTTCAGATTTGTGTCGCAATCCGTATTTTCCTTATCTTAAGTTAAGTGATTACGTCACTCGTAAATAGTAAAAGTTAAAAAAAATATTCACTTTTTCACAAAATGTAAGTAATTCTGTTCACTTTTTTGGTTAAATTGTCGCATTATATTTCCTATTTACTATATTGTTCGATGTGAACATACACTCGTGACTCATACATAGCCCATAGAAAGCATATAACGTCAGGAACATAATTATCAAATCGTCCAGGTTTTTTGTTGATTTTAAATAGTTGAGAAACAATCTTAACAGGTGAGAATTTGACGATACGTTTAGTCCGTTAGTTCTTACTTTTAATGTAAAAAATACGACAACACAATTTTACAATTTTACCATAGAAAATTTGTGAAGTAGTCATATTCCCCTCCGTGACACATCTTGACCTTGACCATTGACCCAAAAATTGGTTATCCCGAGTTCCTTTTCACGCCCCCCCCCGTCGTCCTGATATCGTAACCGTACGACGAGCGGTTAAAGATTTGCTGCCAACTGTTGACGAACTGACGCACGGACGGACGCTTCTGCGATTCTACAAGCTGCATGTGACTTCGTCAGATGATGCTAATAATATAATAATAAA